AACCGAAAGCTGCTCACTGCACTTCCCTGAGCAGTCCCGTGCACTTCAGCAAAGCGAGCATGGTATGCAGGATTTTGCTCTCTCGCAAGATAGTACATGCTGGGGAGAGGAACAAGTGCAGTCCCTCCCGTCTCCTTTCAAGCTTTCGATGATATGTTGTAATCTATTTATTTGTTGATTGTCTGGGCCTTTCCAACAGAAAGGCAATTATTGATAAGCACTGTGTTGCAACAGCATATGAAATTTATTTTTATCAAGCACTTCGCTTTATTTTCTAGTCCAAGTGCCATCTTTAAGAGAAAAGCAATAGCTGTGCTTTTCATTCAGAGGATATCTACAGAAAAAATTAAGGTGTCCAAGAACCAATGAAATTCTTAAAATACTAATTTTCAAAGTCAAAGAGGAGATTTCCAGCAGACATAAATAGAAGTAGTGAGAATTAGCACGACTGCGTATTCTTTATAAGAGGCCCTCTTCAGTTTTAGGTACCAAAATTCCATTTCCTTAACAGAGTATAGTCTTTTTTTTTCCTCAGCATACTTTTTTCCTCCATAAAATGTGACTGTGTGGCATTATTGCAAGAACAAAACGATATCTGCTACATGCATACATCATGCAAGTCAATCCATGTATCTGTGTAAATCCATGTATCCTTATATATATGTACCTTATTTCTGATAAAATGCATAGAGAGAATAGGAATCTATATGTTTCCGCTGATCACACAGGACGTAGTAGTCACGCTTTTTCTTCCAGTTTAATTTTTTTTCTAGAAAATTTGCTTGGAAGAGGGAAGACGTCAGAGGTGATCTCATTTAAATACCTCGGACATAAATATCATTCAAGGTTAGGGTAAATCCTCTTAAGCTTTAACTAACGAGAATATAATTTTTTTAAAACCCCAGCATTTCATCATCTGATGTGTGACATTACTTTTTGTTAATGAGGAATTAAGAAAAATCCTAAATTGATATTAAATAAAGGAAATGTGAAAATCATTTGTGGAATTAGCACAGTCAAACCTTTTTAAAACGTCATCTGAGACATTCTGGAAGAAATTGATTCTGCAAACAATATAGTAGAAGAAACTGTAGTCTTTAAATACATACTTTATTTTTAGTTCTTATTTCAGTCTTTCTTGCCGAAAACTGTATTACTCACTTTGAAATGAAAGTTTTAAATGTGACTCTTTATCACACGGCAATCCAGTTAAATACCGACTCATGAAATTGTCATTGGTTTCAGTACCAGAGAAAGGGATGGTATCACTAGAATGAGATTTTTGTGATTTGTTACGATCAGTTCTACATTTTATGCTGTATAGTAATTTCCAGTGTTCAGAGTAAATAGGCTTTCCTTTCCCAAAGCAGATGCAGATACGATTTATTCATTAAAGTACAGGCATATTTTTTTATTTTTCAGGAAATAATAAGTAGCAGTTGCAGGCCAACGAATCCTTATCTTTATACGTTGTTTCTTAGAGACACAAAGCCTCTTAAATGGGGAGCGATAGGTTAGGCTGGAATCTTCCTTGTTCTTTTTCAACTTGACATGACCTTTTTCAGCGCTATTAGCACCAGGCTGCATCACTGTTTAGCATCAACTTATCATTTAACTTGCCTCCGCTTTTGATTGCATATGCCTTCCCAGGGATAGATTTTGTAAAGAATCATTCACAACTTTTTCCAAGTACATTTTAAAATTTACTTTTTTTATTGCCAGATATCTTGCTTAGATAATAACTGCTCTGTTTATACAATTTACACCTTATGAGCAAAATCATGAAGCCTAAATAGGAAATTGTGCAGATAAAGTCTGCTGACCTATACAGGTAAAATCTTTGGCATACACAGAAGTATTCATACATGGAAAAAATGGTGTATAAACAGTGCTTGAATTGAAAAAAAAAGAGAGAGAGAGAGACTCTTAAGCGGCTGGCAGAGCAGAAATGTATTAAGTCTCTTCACCTAGCTTCATTATCACTGCAATTGGCTAGTTTTTAGGAAGAACAATTTAGAAAAAAACAACCCCAAAACTTATAACTAAGGCGTTCTAAAATGTTGAGTCAAAGTGAATGTTATTCAGATTTCATTGTAATGCAAGTAATTGCCATTTCACTCACGAAGTCAGGCAGATCATGTTCTGCTTTTCCTACTTTATCCAACATATCAAGCAATATTTTTCCTAGTTTCTAGTTTTAATAATAGTACCAGATGATATTAGGAAGAGGAGGGAGTACCGTTATGTAGTTGTCACGCTTGGGGTATTCTGCGTTGCCTAAAGTTCCTGTTACCAACTTTCAACAATATATGAAATACCCTGCGTTTCCTACTAGGTAGATGAAGAGCGCTGCAGACAGGATAAAGCTCAGCACTAGGTGAATAACGCAAGGGAAACATAACACTGACCCAGGTCTGTGCTGAATTCGACTTCTGTCCTTTACATCTGTACGCAAAGGGTGTAAAACCTTTCAGAAGCCGAAATGTTCTTACTTATGTGACAACGACAGCATGTAATGGAGTATCAAAATCTGTGTTTCTACATCGATTGTTGGAGGGAGATATTTTGAAATGTTTTATGTTTATGAATTCCATTGTATTTACTGTGCCACAGACTTTACTTGTTTTTATCATTTTGCATTTGATATAGTTAAATTCTTTCTCCTCCAAGGTTTATTTAATGTGCAGTATCGCCTACCATTCCTTTTAGTCATGTTTCAGTTTTTATATGTTTCACTGTAAAACATTTTCCATGTTTACTGTTGTATTTTACATAATTAAGAATAACTTGAAGTCTACACTGAATTCAAGGTTCAGTACTGATGATGGTATTTCCAGGTATTTCAGTCCTGTGTAGCTAAAGCCAGATTTTGCCTGTCCTTCTACTCTTTTAGTGGGGGCTTTTTTACTTAATGGCATAAAAAAATGTGCTGACTAAGCTCAATTAAAGGCAAACTAGTCACCCTACCCTTTGCAAACAACTGTATGTCTGTGTGACTGTATACCTATATTCTTGCAGGTGTATATATATATATATATGTATGTATATATGTATATATCAGTGTATGCTATTGCTATGAAAAATTTATTCATGACCCAGCCTTGGGCTGGAAGCCCAAGGAGCGCTGCTGCTGCTGTCACTGCCGTTAGACATGATGTCTGAACAAAGACAGTTTGGGAATTCCTAAAGGAAAAAACCCCAGTGGTTTGAGGTATGATCTTAGAAAGTATCTGCAACTGTACTTATGAGTGTTGCTTTTCCCATCAGTGTCTTAAAGGCATGCTAGTGCTTTTCTTTAACATTCAGTATCATAACAAGCCCAATGGCTTAGCAGTGATTCTTCGAAATTATCAGTAAAAGGTGTGTGAAAGGTGACACTATTTGCATCCCAAACCTGCTCATTTCAATAGGTGCTAAAGGAATGAAAAAAATCAAAATTTGTCCAAATGGTTGTCTAGGATGAATCACACATCTATGTGATGCTAAAGCATCTCCAGAATTGATAGTGATTCTCACGGTGAGCTCCAGTGCACTTTTGTGGGAACCTCTGGAGTTTTTCACTTGAAAACCCAAGTCCATTTTCAGATGACTAAGTACAGATTTAGAAGACATTTAATCTTGCAGTCCTGTAAAGTCTGTCTCTAAAGTTCTCAACTTTTGAACTTTCTCTGAAGAAAGGAAAATTTATTAAAATTAAAATGCAGCCCAGCAGTCAGTGTCTTTGACTTAGAGGCTTCTTTCTGGGGGGAATTGTATAACTGAAGTTTCTGAAATATCCTTAGGGCTAGAGATACAAAACAGGCATCCAGAATGTGAAGAGGTATGCATATGTGGAAGGTCACATCTGCAGTCCTTTTTTCTTCTCAAAAGTACAGTTCCTCAGAATAAGATGAAGTTTTAATAGTTGAATATTAAGTGGATACCTAAGAAAATTATCTACATGTCCTTTTGGACTGGGACATTTTTGCTGCAGTTAAATAATATGTTAATATTTTGGAAACAAATATGAATAACATTAATTAATGGCAAACAAAGTTAAGCTGGATTCAGATGGTCAATGCAGAAAATAATCCAAAAGTCTGTGTCACTGTGCATACGTAAAGATAAAAGCATTGTCTTTTATTGATATATGCGGAGGTAAACCATTTTATTCATGTCGGACTTTTTCCCCAAAAATCATTCAAGGAACACGATTTCTAGCATTCAGAACTAAATGTCATTCTTAATTAAGTTGTATTCTTGATGTCTGCCTCTCTAGGTTAGACATAGATAAAAGCGTATTTGTAGCAAAGAGAATGAATGATCCAAACGAGAAACTGAAAAATTAGGGTGCATTGAGAAACTCACAGTTTTTCCCAGCAAGCTTGAACTGACACGTTTGTTTGATGGCTGCTTCCAGTTTTGCAAACAGATCAGTCAAACTTTCACTAATCTTGGAACATACCAACAGCATAGAGAGGATAGAAGTGTCAGGTAAATTTAGTATTTTAGTATTCAAGGCAGGTTTTATTTTTCAGAGATGAATAATCTGGCTGTGATAGTGTGATGTGTAACATTGATCATCTTTTGCTGATGCTCCTATATGTTGCCGTGCTTAAGCTAGCATAATTCTGGTTCTACTGGGTCCTCTATGGAGATAAAAACTGTTTGTTTCATTTGACCAATACATGTAAATTCAGGGTTTCAGTTTCATTGG